CAGACATGAAACATAATACCCTTAAATGGAAAAAGGACTGGATTTGGCATCATAATCCATTATAGATTGTGAAACGAAATTGCTCACCTGTGTCCATTCAGATGGACACAGGCGGACACAGGTGGACACAGAAGGATACCAAGTCACAAAATTTTTATATTTCGCTTCACAAATCTTTTTCCACAAAATGGATTTGTGAAGCGAAATAGACAAAATCTTTTTATGGTAGAGACAGTGTTAATGATTAAACATGACAGTTTTTATATTGATGAAGTATTCAATTATTTCTGTTATAGTGCGTTGGTAGCCGAGTCGAGTCAAAAATGCTTTGATAGTGCTTTGATGGTGTTTTGTCTTGTTAATAATGTTGACGATAATGCTTTTTCCTGGATGATACTTATGCTAAACACCTTGGAATATCACAAATTTCACGACAATGGATTGCTTGTACATTGTATTTTCTCAGCCTCTTTTGGCTCAAGGATGCAGCCAACAGTTTTCTGCCTCTTGTAGCTCAGTTCATGTCTTGGTATTTCCGACACCATCACTACTTTGTGCTTTATTGCTTAAATTTGTATCCGAGGATATATATATATATGTATATATAAAAAAAAAAAAGAAAAAAAAAAATTACCCTTACTCATCTACTCGTCCGCATCTTGGTGGCAGCCTTCGTCATTCCCGGTGTCTTTCAGAAGCTCTAGTCGAATGGAATTGATTGTCCGACCCTTGTACTGAGCTGTCAGTGCGTCTACTACCTCTTCGAAGTCTCGCTTCTGTTTTTCGGCAATATTCTTTATCAGATCGAAAATTTGACGCCTGCGCCTGAATGCCTTGTGACGCGCCTCTGTGAATGGCCATTTGTGATTTTCCTGCTTTGCCTGAGCAACGGGCCCACGGAATTCATCCCATGCTTCCCTGACCGTCAATTGCTTGCCATCGCCTTTCATGAGGTAGCCTTTATACCTTTCATCTTCCGGCAATCGTTGTGTCTGCTCTGAGGTCATTGGAGCCTGCACATGGCTATGTTGATATGGCTGTTGCTGAGGACATGGTGGCAATTGGTTGGAAAATAATGGCTGCTGTTGCGGTGGAGCGGCCTGGCGAGCTTGATATAGACCCTGCGTAGTAGGAGCCTGAGGAACCGAAGGAAAAGAAGCTAGGCGGCTCTGTGCTGGCGCCAATGGAGAAGGATTAAACACAAAGGGCGGGCAAGACTGCACATGATATGGAAAAGGCTGCCGCACATTTGCGCTTTGTTGCTGCTGCAGCGATTGGAGAAGTAAGTGGATTTGCTCCTGTTGCTGCCTCTGTTGCTCCTGTTGCTCTGTCACAAGGGTGGATAGGGCCTCGAGCTTCTGGACCGTCTCATGCTGGAGTTGATGAAAGACCCGCGCCTCTACCGACAACGTGTTAATGGCGCTTACCATAGTTTGCGCATTAACTGGCACATCCGCTTGGATGATGCCTGCTTGTCGGCGATGTACGTCGATGGCCCGAAGCAATTGATGTTGGAAATCCAGAAAGAGCTGGCAACCAAAGATTTCTGGTAACGACTCGAGGAGTTTGTTCTCCAACATTTTCCCCTTGTCATTCGGCTTCAAAAAGAGCACTGCATCCTGAAGGATTACTCGCCTCATACGCACAAGAAGTTTGAGGAACCCAATGCGTGTAACAAGGGAGTCAGTGCTGAAGGCACGGGTCAATCGTTTCGAGCTCGTCTTCTTCTCGATTGGCGTCCAAAAAATGTCTTCGTCTGTCGGGACATTTGGATCGACCCCCAGCATTTCTTTGGCGCACTCCTCTCTCCAGGAGTCAGCTCTCTCCGGCATATCTTTATCAAAATTTTCCTCAATCCAAGGAAAGACCAGACGCTGGAGCTCTAAGGGCGGGGTGACCAAATCACGCTCGATAAAGTAAGGCTCATTCGGTCCAAACTGAGCCATACAAAAAGCGCCCCTGGTTGGGTTTTTTGGAGCATAGAAGTTCTCCATTTGCCCCATGACCCACCTTCCCAAGTGGCGAATATCGTCCAGGCTTAAGCCCCTTTCGTAGGCTTCCGAGACCCCTGCATGTCGGCCAGAGTGCGTAATTTTGGCCGAATGCACGTCGCAGGCACGCATTACAGCCGCCGTAGTGCTCATTTGGGTTCGGCCAACAAGCGCTTCCTTTCGGTTCTCTAACCGTTCTTGGCTTGTGCCACCCCCTGTTAGCACCTTGATGCTGTACCACTCGTCAGGGTCCGCAAAATTGGGAAGAGGCTCCTTGAACACCTACAATAGGGAAAAAAAAAAAATAAAAAAAAAAATAAGGATATATGTCACTTCGTGTAATTGAATGAGAAAAAATCATACGCTCGCGTCAAGACTGACGGCATCATTTACCTGGAACCGTTCTAGCATATAAAATGCAAACCCGCCCACGGTGCACCTTAAGAACAGCTTATGTCGATAAGCTGTCGCATAGAGTTCGACACCTTTATGGTTTGTCTTTCCACGTGTGATGCAGAAGACAAGCCCCGACGCCAGCTTTGACCCTGGCGCGGGGTGACGGGTCTGAATATTGAATGTGTTAGCCAGGTTCAAGTTTCGGATGTCCTCATCCCGCAGCAACATATGATGGCGTGCAAGGAGGCATAGCCTCTCCCTCATATACTGAAATCTTGTAACACTGTCGTAAGGTCGCCTGCCGCTTACTCCAACCGTCGGAAGCATGCGCCATGTAAAGGCCAACATACGCAGGTACATTTTAGTGTTGTACGGTTCTCGTACGGCACAGGTGGCAGTGCGGGATAAGGTGCCTGTCGTTACTTTGTGATGGACAAGTTTCTCTCCATAATTTTTGATCGCCTCCGCTAGTGGTACATCCGTTCTTGGGTTTGGGGCGGGATTGGGATACGGAGCTGTCGAAGAAGACTGTTGCCTCCATAAGTATTGCAAAGCCTTCTTAACATTTGCGACTGTCCCCAGCGTGAGAGGAACAAAGACAATTTTGCTGCCATGTTTGTCCTCTGGTGCTTGCAGGATAACTACAAACGCAAAAGTATATCCAAAAAAAAAAAAAAAAAAAAAAAAAAAAAGTAATTGTATAATAAAAAGTATCAACCATTAGTGTAAATTGTAACAATCAAAGATACATTAAGGTGGATGCAGGATTAAGGAATGGTTTATTAAGTCATAATTTAGTAGGCTATTTATATTGATAATTAACACTGAGTTGCGGCCATGGTGTCTTGTCACCTGGGGTACGCGTGATGGCGGAGCCTTCCCAAAGGTTTGGATCCCAGTACTGTATAACAATTTATATATTAATACATGGTTATCTTTACATACCTTGTTCTCTTTCATTTTCAGTCCTGATAACGGCTGCAGTCTTCCGCTTCGGCGTGATGTTCTTGCTTGAACCCCCAACAGTTACAGCTTCATGTGATGCTCGCTCCTCATCATTCAATGCTATATCAATCTGCCATTGATGTGGGTCGACTCCTTCAGGTGGCTCCATATTATCCCAGGAGGGAGGAGCCTTCTTACCTCTCTGTGCCAATGACCTCAGCTGAAGCTCCAGATCTTCATCCTGTTCCTGTTCCTGTCCTTGTTCCTGTCCCTGCCCCTGACCCTGTCTCCGTTCCTGATCCTGTTCCTGACCCTGTCCCTGACCCTGTCCCTGTTGTTGACCTTGGTCTATGCTTTGGCCGTCGTCGTCATCAACTTGCTCGCTGTTATCTAATGTCTCCAGTCTCTGCTCCATGTCGCTTAGTTCATGTTCGTCGATATCTGCCTCGACTAATTCGTCGATCTCTTCTCCCTCATAGACTGCGTCTTCCCCAGCCTGAGAATTCGAAGAATCTCCTACACCCTGCTGGGCATACCCAATAGCGCCACGGTAGCAACGATCTGTGCCGATCAATCGCTTTACTGTTCGCTTGAAGACAACCGTTGTGAAGTATTCAAGCATGCGTTTCGCATCGACGCTACAGTCACCTTGATAATTTTCATTGCAGTATTGCTAAAAACAAAAAAGAGAATTAGCCAAGTCGTCTAGTTTGATAGCCTGTCTGAGATAGCTCATAGCGACATTTTGATGATCCAACATACCTCCCACAGCCGGAGCTGTGTCTTATATTGATTCACTGTCGTCGATGAATCTGGATCATCTAAAATCATCTGCAGCACACTTCTCGCCGACTCCTTCCGTGCGTTCGCCAGGGCCAGCTCTTCTTCTGTCAATGGACCGGAGTGAAGGACATTTGAGGATAAAGAATCAGCCTCACAACGCCTAGGGCGCTTAAAAGACTTTGCACTAACTCTAGCAGTCTGTGCCACTGGTGAAGGCTCTGGAGTCGTTTCGTCAGTCAGAATAACTCTTTTTCTCCTCGGTGCTGCACGAGTGGATCCAGTGCGAGTACTTGACTTGGTTGGCTTCGTCTGACTGGTGCTTTGTTCCAAATCCATGCAGGTGAAATTGGATAAAATCTTTTCGTTGTTGTTTGTCATTTTGAAAGTGAGCAAGCAGGAATGAACCTTTGAAAATGCGAATGTGCCGTTATTTTTCTCAGTTTTAGTCAGGGGAGAGGGTAGGTCTACTCTGTGTATTGTAGGTTTTATTGTTTTATTGTGTAAATGAATGTATGGAGGAATGAAGGCGTGAAATAAAGAAGAAAGAAAGAGATCTTTAGCATGCCATGATGACATTGTTAAAATTTCGATGGATTTGATGTCAATTCAAATTTCAGGACAAGTGTCGGAGTAAAAGCCACAAAACGGACACATGTCTTGTACGTACAGACATGAAACATAATACCCTTAAATGGAAAAAGGACTGGATTTGGCATCATAATCCATTATAGATTAATTCATAGTTTTTTGCCACCAATTAGTGTCCTTCTGTCACGTGGCATTTTTTTTCTTTTTTTTCACTTTTGGCGTTGCGTTTTAAAGAGAGACAGACAGAGGCTGTGTGGAGGAGACGAGAATGTGATTCATCTTCATCACTTCCTTTGGCTCTCATCCTTCCTTCCTTTCTTTCTTTTCCTCTTTCCCTCCTTCTTTCTTTCTTTATTTCTTTCTTTTCTTTCTTTTCTTCTTTCCTTCTTTGCTTTGCATCTGTCTTTTGCCCCTTCCTCCTCCTCTTCTTCCTCTTCCTCCTCCTCTTCTTCCTCCTCTTTTTCCCTTTACGTTTACACATATTACAATCTAATAATCATGACTGAGGCCCCTCCTATGCATCCGGCTGAGCCTGTCAGCAAGGACGTCACTGCAAAGGACATTGCTAACCTCTACTCCCGTATTCACAATCTCATCGAGACCGTCAAGGAACCTCAGCAGAGGGCCTCTGCTGCCCTCAAGGAACCTACGCCCGTAGACCCCACCGCTGCCCCTGCAGCCAATGGTTCAGGTACAACACTTTTTTTTTTTTTTTTTTTTTTTTTTTTTTTAAAAAAACAAATTTATTTATTTATTTATTGGGTTCCATGTGTACCACAAAATGAACATCAAGCATGAATATGAATATGGATAAAAAACAAAAAAAAGGTTATCCAACGCGCCTAAAATTGAGTAGAAAAAAAAAAAAAAAAAAAAAAGTTGATGGTTTTTTACATGGGAAAAAGGAACAAGGAGCATGAACATGAACATGACCATGACCATGACCATGACCATGAGGGACAGCCAATTACAGTCTGTAATAGAGTTTTCTACTCGGTGCCTGATTTGCTTGGCTTGTGACAATTCATCCATTCTTGATCACAAAGAATCCCAAAGCCTACACCCAAACACCCGAGAGCACAAAGTAAAAAAGAAGATAGAGTCAACCTACACTTTGTGGACACTTTTCCATTTTTTTTGCTGACTGTGCAAGAAAAAAAAAAAAAAAGAAAAGAAAAAGAAAAAAAGTTCATTCTGATGGCAATAAAGACCTTTTTTCATATACCAATCCTCTAAAAGTCCCCATCTTTTGTGCCCATTGTGGATGATCAATGAATTAACATCTTGTCTTCCATCTCTCTATTGATTTCTCAACAGTAAAGGATGATGCACCAGCTACTACAACTGCTACTGCTGCTGCTACTACGACTCCTACCACCGTTACTACTACAACAACAAAGGACCTGGATGAGACCATTTTAATCGATGGAGAGTGTCCCTGTCACAGAGTTTGCTCCAACCTCGCTTCACGTGCATGTGGTCTCTGTGAACGCATCATCCCTGCTGTTGCTGAAGCACATAACGAACGCACCCTTCTCCTGGAAGAACTGGAGCAAACAAACGCTCGTCTGGCAGAGGAACAGAAGCGCGCCTCCGCCGAATCAATCGAGGCAGAGGTTTTGCGTAAAAAAGTCGAGGATCTCGAAGATGCGCTGGACGCAAAAACGGATGACTACCTCAGCGCTCAACGTGATCTGGCCATCCTGAACGACAAGTATGTGGACGAGATCGAAAAGGTTGCAGAGCTGCAACATGCCAAGGAAATGGTCGAGGGAGAGCTCGAGGAACTGAGTCGTACCCTGTTCGAAGAAGCAAACGGCATGGTCGCTTCAGAGGCCAGGGCCAGACATCAACTCGAATTGACCCGCAAGCATCTCGAGCTGGAGCTCAAGGACGCTCAGGAGCGCCTCGCTGCAGAGACATCCCAGCTCAAGGAACTCAAGACAAAGATGGAGCAAATGATCGATACTCAACCCCAAAGCAAACGGTCCTCCACCGACCCTGCTCACCAGAGCAATGTCGATCTTGGCCAACTCTTCGGACTCAACAAAATCTCTGTGCCCGAAGCCGAAGCAGAGGAGCCCGCCACAACAATCGCCATCGACGGACATTTGATGCACGAGTTCAAAGAGTTTGTGGCCCAGAGCTCGACTGTCCGTCTCGCAAAGATCCACAGCCTGCCCTTCATGCGCCATTGCCAGGACGAAGATGTGGAACCCTGTTTGCGCTTTGGTTCCAACCCTAGAATCTCGGCCAGGAAACTCACAGAGGGTATCTGCTCCAATACCTGTTACATCGAAGAGGCTACTCCAGAGCAGGTCAGGGAGTATGAACGCATGGTCCTTGCTGCCCAGCAGCCTCCCTCGCCCGCCCGTGGCCCCGCCACCAACAAGAACATGCTCTGGGAGAGACTCCAGACCCAGTATGCACTGTACCAGGCACCAAAAGGTGGCTGCCAGACCTGCGGTCGATCCGGTCCACTAACACATCGCTACCGTCTCGCCACATCGGACGAATGGAACTTCATTGATCGTTTCTGCCGTGATCGCATCGTCGCTGCCTGTGAATTCTACATCTTTATCCGTAATATCCGCGCTGGTCTGTACTCCACACGCACAATCGAGGATCTCTATTCAGAGAGTCTGCGTCTCCGTCTTCAAATGTTCTATGCACGTGCCGGAGTCTTGCCAATCATGCTCTCAGAGCTCGGGGTATCCTCGCAGTCAATCGGCAATATGGGACCCTCGGGTGAGTGGCCTGCGGAGGAGGACGTACATGGTGCGAACGATACACATGATCCGAATGATGTACCATCATCCAAAACCTCGCTGGAAAAAAGAGAAATCACTGCAGTAGAGACTGAAGAATCAAAGATGACTGTCGAGACTGCAATTGCTGCTGTAAGCGTCACCGCGACCACAACCTTGGCATCGGCTGGACCCGAGTCAACTAATCCATGGACCTCAGACGACAAGACAGCTACGGCCTAACTTGTGTTTTTTTATGGAGACATCTCAAAATGATATTCCATTAAATCAATAAAATTATATACACACACACCCAACCCCCTTGTTGCCCAATCATTTTTATGAAGTCCATCCTCCCCTTCGTTCCACATGTCATCATCCCATTCATTATAAACAAAAAAAAAAAAAAGAAAAACCTTTACTCATCTTTATTCCACTGCCTCTCTGTCCAATTATAAAGATGAATCGGAAAGAACACATTGACGTGGTACTCCCTATCACTTGCAACAACAACCACTTGCTCACAACATTTTATTTCTCTAGCAATCTTGATGCCATCAAAAGTTGGACGGTGACGTTGTATGGGGATGACAATTCAATTGACATCAAAGTTTACTTTGTAGCAAGAGAGAACTGTGGATGTGCCATAAGGAACAGCAACTTGTTTATCGAGTTTAGAAATACAACCAACATATACATTGCTCCACACCAGGGAAAAAAGCCTATATTTTTCAAGGATACTGAGAAACAACTGTGGGAGTGGTATTTCTTAAAAGGTAAGCGCATGGAATGCAAAAACCAAATAATAAAGATGTCGATATTTCCTATATTCACTCTTTATCTCTTTATCTCTTTTTGGACTACAGCTAAAATCTCCAGAAAGGATGTCCTAATGGATGGTCAACTCTGCTTTGATATTGTGATTACAACGCGTCCTGAGACGGAGGTGGTAGACCAGCCCTCGTCAACCTCGTCAACCTTGTCGATATCAAAATACCAAAAGATCATGCTGACTCTGCTCAAAGATGTAAATTCAGTTGATCTTTGCTTCGTCTTCAAGACTGACAAAACTTGCTCCAATGTAGCGCTTTGGGCCCACAGCTCTATCCTATCCAGATACCCGACATTTGACAGCATCATTCAAGAGGCCATAGGTTTAAACAGTTTATTCTTACACTCCGATGACGAAAAAGGCAATGACACCAGTCCTAATTCGCATCTGACTGCTCGAGAGTATGGTGATGTCCTAGTTCAGCCTGTGTCCGAGACATCAATGGCTACAATGTGTTCTTTGCTCCTGTACATATACACGGATGAAATAAACCTCTCTATTGATACCAAGAGACATGCCATCAGCAGAACAGAGAGCACGCTGACCGTGGTGGATATGATGGGCCAGGGCAAGCGATCAATGGCATGGCATCCTTTGGACTCGGATTCACAATACAAGTTCAAGGATGTCACTTGGGCAGAACTTCTTATAGCAGCAGAGAAGTATGGAGTCACTGATCTGCAGTCCCATTGTGAGAAAAAAGTGATTGCAACTATCAAGAATTCCAATGCAATCGAGGTCCTGTTCAATCTCGGGACGCGTTTCAAAACGATCAAAACAGCAGCACTTGGCCATATTGTGGGCAACATGACGGTCCTGTTCTCCGAAGGTCGTGATCCCTTTGCACCATATGTTCACCATCCAGATTGTCATACGCTATTGATCGAGGTGCTGCAAAACAAGGCAAAAAAAGGATAGCGTCCCCGTGCGTTGAATGAAACAATTGTGGAAATCATGCATCCCGTGTGTTGGAATATAAAAAATAAAAAATAAAAATTACACAGTTTATCCTGACCTTCGTTGAACGGAGTATTTAACCCATCATCTTTTTTGTTCTCACAGCTCTTTACATCTTTTAGTTTGTTCAACTGCTCAATACAAAGAACACTCCATCATCCTTGCTTTTCTTTTTTAAAAGCTTTTTTCCTTGCCTTACCGGCTATCTCTCTTCTGTAGCCTTTAACATCAAAAGGGCATTATTGAAATGAACACCGGCACTGCTACCGGTAGTAATGAAGTAAGAGTCAACATTAAGGCTCCCCCTCTTGCTGATCCGCCCGACAATGTCTCCACAGTTTACGATGCTTCGAGATTTACTGTGACCCTGAGACGACAAGGCGGTACCCTCGCTGTTAGTATTATCTCCAACTCCAACGAATGGGATGGTAATACAACTTATGTGCACAAGTATATGCATCTGGTGCCATTCGCAAACCCATGTGGGTACACGACTATTGCTTCTAAAACTGAGCTTATAAATTCAGCAGAGTCTGCGACAGGTAACACAGTAAAAGGAGAAAAAAAATATCTATATATTTCTGGGGATTAAAAAAAAAAAGGGACGTATAGTAAATGTTAGAAATGCTGCTTTGGAATATCCATAGGCACGATTGATATCACCAAGGTACTGCACGACGGCATGTATCGCTTTGACATCGTCTTTTCTACCGACCCAAAGCCGCTTATGCCGTTGAAAATTAGGTGCAAGGCTCATGACATGATGCTCACCTTCATGAAGGATAATGAGTCCGCTAATGTCTGCTTCGTCTTTGAAACAGACAAGAATTTCACTAAAGTTGGTCTGATGGCTCATCGTGCAGTCCTTATCAAGTACAGCAAGTTTGCTGAGCTCCTCCAATCTGTTGCTGCCAAGGATACAGCTCCCCCAAATGTTGTTCCTCCTGCTTCTGCTCCTTCTGCTCCTGGGGCCGCTATCAGCGTTATTCGCGAAGATGGCGGTTACAGAGCGTTGATGACAATCTCAATGACTGAATGCTCGTTGGCCGCATTTTCAGCCATAGTGCGGTATATCTATACAGGCGACGTCCAGCTTTCGGTCGATTTGAGCAGTCATGCTATGTGCATAAGCAAGGTAGTGGAGGGTCAGCATGGTCTCAAGTCCCTACCCCCTGGATCCCTTTGCTGGAGCCCTTTGGATACAGGCTCGCCTTGGAAGCTGAAAGATGTGACGTGGGAGGAGCTGATGCTGGCGGCCAATCTTTACGGTATCACTGACCTTCAAGCGCAGTGTGAACAGGCCGTTATTAAGCGTACCAAAGCGTCCGATGCTGTTAAAACCTTGTTTGAATTTGGTTCCTCCTCTGATGGGGTGAGGGAAGCAATGTTGACGATGATTGCGGATAATATGGATACACTCATCAAGGATAAGAAAGACCCTTTTGAACTCTTCAAGACCCATCCAAGCTGTCATGATTTCATCATGGAAGTCATGCGTCGCAGAGTCGCGAGAGCATAAGTTTGCTCTCTTTATATTATACACCTTCAGACGACTGACTGGATTTTAATAACGTGAAAATTAAAGTTAAAACCAATCAAAAATTAATATTTTCGATGAACGTCCAGAAAAAACTCTTAACGTCCACAAGAACATGCACACGCTTGTGATTTTTTTTTTTTTTTTTTTTTTTTTATTTTATTTTATTTTTTTTTTTGTACTTTTCTGGTTTGATAGCTTTCTAGGTTTTGTGGGTTTTTGAGAGAGGGCTTTTTTTTTTTTGGTATTTAATAATGGTCATTCACTTGACAACACATACTGGATCTGATCCAGAATGCTCAAACAACTCATCACTACCGCTTCCGCCTTTTGAACAGTATACAGCACATACTAAAAATGAATGATTGAGCAAACTACAGAGGTGCCCATTGAGAGGAAAAAAAAATAAAGTAAAATAAAAAAGATAAGGGTTTATTGGTGTATCAGCTATAAAGCTATTAGTGAGTAAGTTTTAAGCGATCTTTTTTTTTTTTTTTGTTTGTTTGTTTGTTTGTTTGTTTTGGCTGTTACCATGCTAGCCTAGCAATGATACTTCTAGGGTAAGAGCGAACGGTAAGTTTACGGATCTCGTCCAACACCAAGATCCCAACTGCGCAAGGGATAGGGAGTAACCAATACTTGATAGGGACCGAATTGGTTAACATGACTTCGTTAATCGATGGGGTTTCGGTCACGAGGATTGCGGTTGCCAAGGCCAAGAACATACCCAGGAACAAGTATGGATTGCGACGTTCCTTCGTGAATGGATTACCTTGTAAAATCGAGAGGCGACGGTTGCGGATCGATAAAACATTTCCCCATTGCATGATGACTAAGGCCACAAAGGTCACACATTGGCCTGTATTGACATAGAAACCATTAAAGTCCTCAGGTGTGATACCGGGCTTAAGCTTCGAATAATCAATATTGCCGTACGTCAGGGCTAGGTCTTGGAAGGATAGGCCCGTATACTCCTTCAGGTAAGTAAAGTAGAGCATGTTACTGAAGAAGGTCATACAGCTTCCTATAAAAATATAGGATTGGAGGTAAATACGTCCGGTGATCAAATGGTCCTTCTTAGCATTACGAGGCGGCTGTGCTAAAAGGTCAAACTCTTCTTGCTCCATGACCAGGGCCGTACAAGGGAAAGAATCCGTAAAGCAGCAGATGATAATCATCAAGAACGAGGACAGAGGTAAGGGTGTACCGAGGAATGTATTAATCAAGACAGGCCAAATCTCAGACCAGGAGCCAGCAGGAAGCAAATAGCCAATAACTTTTTGTAGATTCTGGAAGACAAGGCGGCCGAGACGCATAGCCTCAGGAATGGCGTCGAATCCTCCCAGCAAAATCAAATCAGCAGCCTCAATCGCAACATCAGACCCGGAGACAACAGCAACGCCAACATCAGCAGCTTTGAGAGCCGGAGCATCATTCACGCCATCGCCCGTGACAGCCACAACACCATCACGAAGTTGGAATTCAGAAACAATTCTAAGCTTCTGTTCAGGCGATGTACGAGCGAAGACAATCTCCTCGTAAGCACAGACGAGGTCCCACTCGCCAGGACTCATCCTGAGAAGGTCTGAGCCAGTCAGTACCAAAGAGCTCCCTTCACGGTACTGAGGGCGACCCGTCTCATATCTACCATCTTCCTCAAGTGGTTCAGGGGCATTGGCCCCAATATTCTTGCGGCTAGGGTCCATAATGTGCTCATAAGTATCCGGATCAGCATCGCCAGTGAACAACCCAATTTGTTTTGCAATCGCAGCAGCTGTCAATCCAAAGTCTCCTGTGACCATGAAGAAGCGGGAGCCGGCTCTGCGGCAGGCGGCGATTGTATCCTTGATCTCAGGGCGGGGGGGATCCATAATACCAACGAGGCCAATGATGCACAGGTCCTGAAGACCTTGACGAGTCAACTCATCCTGGGTTGCATCGTGGTTGGAGGAACTACCGGTATGATAAGCTAAATAGGGGTTGTAGCGGCCCTTGCAGAGCATCAATACACGCTGACCGCGGCGAGACCAGGCCATCTGGATTCGGGAAAGTTCAGTCATCCATTCAGCAGAGAGAGGCTGATGTGTATTCGACACAGATAGGAACGATGTGCAATACGGCAGAAGAACATCAGGCGCACCCTTGACAAACACTAGTTGAGAGCCTTTCTCGTTAGTTGTAGTCTTGTCAGCGCTGCTCATGTCAGGACCAAATAGAGTCTTGATCACCTGAGGTCGCTGAGCTGAGCCTTGGTAGACAGCCATCATCCATTTATTACGAGAATTGAAAGGAATCTCATGTGTGCGCTCAAAGGAGCCTACCAGGGCCGAATCATCCGAAAGCTGGGCAGAAAGTCGCAAGAGAGCACTGTCAGTGGCATCTCCCAGGATTGAGCGTTCATGGATCGGCAAATGCATGGTCTCCGGCTCGAACTTGGCATTATTACAGAGAGATGTTGCTAGCTGGAATTGTTGAAGGGCCAGGACCTGTGCATTGTCCTCCGGTTGTGGGAGTGAGTTGGGCCGAACTTCCTTCTTGATCTTGAGCTGCACCTCTTCAGGGGTCGATTCATTATCCAAAAAGGCCATATTTGTGACAAACATCTTGTTCTCAGTCAGGGTCCCAGTCTTATCAGAGCAGATGATGTTCACATACCCAAGGGTCTCGACAGTGGTAAGCGCTTTAGGCAGGATGTTATTAGAGCGCATTCTACGGGCAATCATCAATAGAGTCAAAGAGACACAGACAGGCATACCTATGCAATGTCAGAAAAAATTAATAAAAGTTAAAAACTAAGAGAGGAATAGAGATAACAGGAAATAATGGATTGTGCTGTGCATATGCATGGCATTGCTCATTTGATAATATAACTCCATTTTTCACAAAAAAAGGAAAACCCCCCCCTCAGTTCCCAACGCCACACTAGTAAAGTAAAACATTCATTAGCATACCCTCTGGAATAAAAGCAACCACACAGCCCATTAGGGTGACCAACAAGACAGCAACGGGCATAAAATTAGGGTATGTTGGGCGGATAAAGGCTGCCCAGACAGAAAGGATTAAGGTTGCAAGGAATATCGTGAGGCAAACAATGATACGGACAAAGCGAGAAATTTCTAGTTGGATGATTGTCTTCTTCTCCTTACGGCCTGCAGTTAGTTTGTTGATGCGTCCCATCAGGGTGTCATTGCCCTTCAAGATCACCACACCGACGCAGGAGCCCTGAATCACATGAGTTCCCATGAAGGCAATGTTCTTTGATTCTAAAAAGTTGTCATCTGTAGCTGTGATGCTCGCCTCAATTGGCTCAGATTCCCCTGTCAGTACAGCGCGGTCAAAGCGAGTATCATTGGAGGCCTGGATAAGGCGTAGGTCCGCAGGGACCTTGTTGCCAAGTGAAAGTTGGACGCGATCTCCAACCACCAAGTCCGCTGCAGGGATCTTAACCAATTTGCCATCACGGAAGACAATGCAGTCCGAGGGGATCATGTCCAGGATAGAGGACATGACACGGGCCGTAGAAAAGTCTTGAAAAGCGGAGAAGCTGGCCTGAAGGAAGATGACAAAAATCTAGTTGTTTGTTTTTTTTTTTTTTTTTACACAAAGGTGCGGAAGACAAAAAGGAAATTAGGGTAGGGTTGTTGGCTCATTGCCGTTTCCAAAAGAAGGTTGAGCTATATACCGTTGGGGAAGAAGAAGAGGGGGAAAGCTTACAACTAGGATTGCAAGGGCCAAGTTGGTAACATTGGGTGGATTCGAAAGAGGTGGTTGCCAACAAACAAAGAAGGTGATCACACCAATCCAGAGAACCGAACAGAAGCCTCCAAAGATATAACCAAGGACCTTTTTGATGTAGTTGGGCTTGCGTGTATCGAGTGTATTAGGACCGTTCACTCGGAGACGACGTTCAGCTTCGGATTGCTCCAAGCCCAGGGCTTCATTCAAATTGAAGCGCAGAGCAATCTCTGCAGTCGATAACTTGTGGAAATCAACTGCAGCAAAGAAATCGGTCTCTACACCGAGGTTCTCATCGCCTTTACCCTTGGATTTATTCTTCTTGGACTCGAAGGCCGTGAACTCGCCAGTCTTGTTGGAGCGTTGGGTTTCTGTTACATGGATGGACAAGGTGCGGAATTCAATAGGGACAGCATTCCCCTGTGTACGCTCCAGGGTTCGGGTGCGCACTAGAGCAAGCGATTTTCTATTTTCTTTCTCAGCTGTCATTTTCTTTTTTGTCTTTTCTATATATGAAAAATAAAGTGTGCGTGTGTGGAAGGAAGATAAGGCAAAAATAGGAAGAAGTGAAAGGAGAGTAATGATAATATGGTGTTGGAATTCCTCAATACTCTTGTCTGAATCTAAAGAGGCTCTTGGCCCACCTGATATCTGAAAGAGTAGAGAATAAGAAAGAAAGATGAGGGGGGGAAAAAAAAGAAAAAGAAAAAGAAAAGGACAGCCTTTTATTTAATCCTAGAGAGAGAAAAAGGAAAGGAGGTCCAAAAGATAGCTTGTCGAGGCTGAGCATGAGCAGCCCAAATCAACTCTTGTGTTTCGTTGTAACATAAAAAAAAAAAAAGTCAAGCTAGGCAACAGTAATATCAAAAATAAAAGTACTGTACATATATATCGTGATTGCTCCATGGACCAAATAAAAAAAAAAAATAAAAAAAAAACGCCATGAATGAGCTGAGTTTCTGCGCTTTTTGTCTAGGAAATGATGAAGCAAAGCACAGCTTTCAATTGAGAGATTTGTCTATAGTATAGTTTATATAGTTTGGTATGCTTGGCGATACAAATAAGTGCGGGATTTTTTTTTTTTTTTTTTATCTGTGAATACATGTGTACAGTGTATGATGCAAGTTTGTACGACATTGCCCCGCATGGAAGGATGAGAAATAGAAGCTCCCTCGTGGCGTCCCTGTGGCCTCCTTCTCACTGAAGGAAGCCGAATGTTGCGGACATCAATGCTACGCCCTGTTACACATAAACACCACTAATGCACAGATCGAAAAAAAAAAAAAAGAAAAAGAGGGATTTCTTATTGGAGCATTGAAAGAAAAGTGCGCGATTTATTTCTCTTTTCGGTATACATAATGATAGCCATTCACAGCACTAGTATCAAAAGAATACAGTACTTTTGGAGCTCTTGCTTTGTTTTTTATTGCTTTTTAGATCAGGCTTACAACAAACGAGTGTATCCGCATAGGCGCCTAACCAATTGATAGCTTTACTTGTAGTAAATGGAGGGAATAATGCATCAAAATCTGATCTATTTTGTTTTTTTTTTTTTTTTTTTTTTTTTTTTTCAGCGCCGAGGCGCGATATCTGTTGCTTCGAGGGGGGAAAGGCCTCAAGTGCGCCGATTGCCAAGATTAAAAAGAGAAAACTTATTCACTAAATATTTAAAAACTATGGTGACATTAACTTTTATCCTATGCAAGCTCAACGAAGATCTAACCTCGTGAAGATTGGGAAGAGGTAGATGACAAAATCCTGCTCAAAGTAGCGTAACGTTGGTTCCTAAGACTGCTCAAAAATGACCAGCAACAGTTCTGGTTATTGAACGAGTGTTCAAAACAATAAGTATGATTAGGTTGCCGATCCACTCAGGAGCGAGGATACGCATGGTCCTCTTTGCCTACTGACAATAACCATAGCATAGCAAACCCTTTTTGCTATATGTTTAATCGATATTGGATGCTTTGTTCACGTAGTTGCTACATAGTTTTAGTTATTTAAATACTTTTTCCCACTCCTCCATAATAACTCTCACTATTTTGTCTTCAATCCCTGAACCCCCAAAGGCGCCAGCGAGTGAGGTGGGCTTGCTGATCTAGTACAGCCCTTCATCTGAGGCGTTGGTACAATCATAAGATAATGTTTATAGTATTTTTTTTTTTTTTTTTTTTTATTATTTTCCTATTATAAAAAAATAAAATAAAATGATATTACAAACTTGACCTCATAAAAAAAGCTTAGACCAGTCCTCAAAGTGCACAGCCATAGCTTTAAGCACCAGTTAAAAACAGGGGTCAGTCAAGTCAGCTGTAGCAAAATCGTTGATCATTACTTTTTATTGCCATTGTTGTCACACTGTACTACAACTTATCTTGTTCTCCTCTGCTCCATTACACCCAGTCTCTTTAATATATTATTGCAAGCGCAAATGGATATTAAGCCTCTAATCTACCAAAGATTGGTAAGCCAAGTCGGAACCCACCGGCTATATTGGGGCAACTTCAAGATATCCCTTCATGGAGATATTATAGGCGGAGCTTAACATTTGCAACGTTATTCAAGGCTTTCTTCATCATCAAGAATGGTCATCCTATCTTGTGTCAAACAAAAAGGAGAATAACCCCACAACGAACAGCGGAAGCAAGAGCGCGACCAAGCAATCAGCGCCGACCTAGCAGAGAATCCATGTTGAGTACGTGTAATTCATACAAGTTTTATCATATTTTAGATTTTATCTGGGCATCAGTACACATTTGCGTGGCGTAGCATTTTAAGTTTATCATTAGCATGTGCGCAGCATTTACGGACACGATGTATTTTTTTTATTTATTTATTTATGCGTTTTAAACACACATACTCTCCAATTTTCTACAGAACAGCTCATATAGGCAGTGTTATACGCACACATCATTAATGACATTCTCCAATCAGAAACATTGGGTCATTATGCAACACACTTTTTTAGCCCCCATGGATATACTATTATCGTAGTCCAGAGTCCAGTCAAGACTGCTAGATCTAAAGGAACAAGCCAGTTTTATCGCACCTGTAGACGCCCTCGAGTCTAAACCGGCCGAGAACATTTTCAGCCAACTGACGGTGCTTCTTCTTCTTTAAGGTTGTGCCTGTAAAGATCATACTAACCCTTGAAACCCCATAACCAGCCGCTCCAGAATTAGAGTTTCTTGAAGGTAAGCTTGCCTATATAAACCTCAAAGAGTTGTATACCCAAGTTATCGATGGGTAAAAGGATTTCGTGTCTGATATGCTCAATGGCTCCAAAAAGGGCCTCTTCAACCGGATAAAATGCCCTGGTGTTGCTTAGGTTTTTATTGGAACCCCTTTACAGCCGTCACGCAACGATTTCTTTTTTTATTTTTATTTTTATTTTTTTTTATCTTATGAATTAATAAAAATGGGGATATCTCAGGAATGAACGTTCATCAACCCTTAGGGTGTCATAGTAGAGAGGCGATATCGCTTGGAGGTTTGACCAGTAGAAACATTTAGAAGCTCTTCTCTTTTGGCCAGTATGTACTTGAGCACCCGCGGTGTGATGTTATGATTATCACAGAATATTTTCTTTGGAGGAACAAATTTAGAGCCGCCCTCGAGCTCTTTATTATAGTTCGTAACATGCCTGTCCCACGTTTCTAGGATCTCCAATTTTTGCTCGATGGTCAATTGTTTGTCATCATTGACATCAGTAGGGTCTGGTCGAGGCAGGATGGGTCGATATTTGCGAGGAGACACGGACATGATGATTACTGAATGGAAATTATGAAGAGAGAAATGAAAGGTAACGGCCGAAAAGGCTTAATAGGAAAGTCTGAGCAGGTGAAAAGCTATGGCAATAATGGTGAAGAGGATGAGATATCTTGCTGTTGATGGTTGATGTCAAATATTTATTCTTTTCATTATCTGCTCGGATCTGAGACCCTGAGACACCAGCAAATAGTGTGTAAACTATGCATAAAAAATTAAGAGCTGATTGGCTGGAGTGATCGAGGATATTGTTATATTTATTGTTATATTTATATAGATACATTTAACACCATGAACTACATACACGTAAACAGAAATAAACAGCTCAATCCATAAAATACGTCCTTCCTCTCACCCGTACTTGTTGTCTCTTACTACCATAAGAATCCTATTTCTAGGTATGGTCGATACTGCTGCAACCAAATCATCGCATCCCTACTATACGCACTATTAAAATTGATTGATTGGACTCGAGGCATCGTTGTTAATATTGTCCTGAGCTGCAGCATCGTGATCGGTCCGTCCTCAAGCGAAGGCATCACAATGACCCCCAGACGCCATTGTGTCGCTTCTGTAGTCAACATCGGGGTGGTTTCTGGAGGTGCGGAAGCTGCAGTTGAAGTCTCGTGTAGCTGTGATTGCACCATGGACACATCTTCTTTGCTCACCAGCGACTCTATCTTGAAACCTTTACCACTTATGCTAAGCAATTCAAGTCGTTTCAACTCTCGGATCCTGGTTCGGAACGCAATATTCTCCTCAGGTTCCTTCAGGAAGACATTAAACACCTTGAGTTCCTCCAATGATTCATAACATACCCAAGGGTTGGTCTCGCTAAACAAATCTCCTGTATAAGAATTAGTCATACAGTGGAGAATCTGCAAGGATGGGCAAGACTTTAGGATCTTGAGCAGACCATCAGTGCTGATTTTGGTGCCCCGATATACTTTGAGCGACTTGAGATTCCGGCAGGTGGTCGCAATCGTATAGGCGGTCTGGTCACTGACAATTGTGTTGCTGAATAACAGGGCCTGCATACCCGGATACGCTGACAAGAACAATGACCAATCCGGTTCTGGGCCTTCCATCCTTCGACCTCCCATCCTTCGATCTTCCGTCTTCCAAATGTCTCTGAATTGAAAAGTTTCTAATTCAGAGCAGAGTCTCTGGATAAGTGGTAATATCTCCGGGTCATACAACATTTGAATACAGAGCCGGCGAAGATGGGGCGTTCTTTGTAGCACACGAGAGAGGGCCTGGTAATCATGAGGGATAAACTCTAACTCCTCTAGATTTGAAATCTCCGCTTCTTCAGTCTCAAACCCTTGGGGAGAACCCAGGGACAATTCTATCAACGGAACATCTTGCAAACGTAGTGTTTTGAGACTAGGAAACAGGTGCAAAAACTCTATCATATCCTTCATTCGGACATGCTGTCCAGGAGAAGAAGATTGGCCGCTCCCGATCCTGAAATGCTGAAGGTTTTGCAGATACCCTGTCGACTTCACATATGATATCCATGGTACCACAAGTCCCAAAGGGAAAGTCTTGCAAAACTTGATCTCTAGAGTCTTGGTGTGATTGCCCACGAAGCCATTTTCTGGTTCTGGTCTGAAGAAATGACTGACTCCATCCGGGGTTGGTTCTGTAAAGAAATCTAGCCTCAGGTCTCGGAGATGAGTGCAGTATTTGCTGATGCTCAGATATTGAGAGGAAGACCAACTGTCAATGGATAGATCCAACTTCTGGACAAGATGTCCATGTTTAGAGAAGTCTTCAGGCAGTTGACGCCCAATGGTGCGCCAAAGGACCGGAAAAAAGGAGCGATGCCATCGTTTCGAAACACGGATACAGGATACAATGCTAGGTCGTTCGAGATATTGAGCAAGAGGCTCAAATAACTCTGGAAGGCTAATAAGCTCGTCAAGATTAGGCATTTCGAATGCAAAAAGAGATTGAGGGCATCTATAAAAGTTAGATGAGGGATTAAGTAGAGTAAGGGTTGCGTGTCCAAGAAAAGGATGATTAGAAGAAAAGGATGGGATGAAATGAAGTGACGCGGTAGCCAGGTGATGTTAGACCTATTTCTGCCCATTTACTTCGCACAGTACAAATCCTCAAATCCTCAATGTGTTAAACCACAGACATTCATCGTTATTGCGTCCTGCCTCTTATAAATATCTCATGGCATCTATGGAGCATTCTTATATTCACATTGAGACAAAGAAAGTAACTAGACTCATTACTATTCTCCCCCGCTGTGCTATTCTTTTTTTATGGTCAACGGAGAGGGATGACTACAAGCTAGTAAATAGTAACAAAACATGGGCTATGATGGACATTGATGAGTCACTTTTGCTCATGGTGCCCTTTCTCCAGATTTAGCCCAGCTGATTCGGGTCCCATGCGCCAAGCAGTCCAGTCACACAGACATTCAAAGAACGCCGAGCTCCTTTTCCCCGTTCTTGCTTTTTTTTTTTTTTTTTTTTCCTTCTCACTTAGTACATTTAATAAAGAAATCAAGCAATGACGATCGCAAACAAAGCTGTCCAGGTCGGGATTGGTGTGTTGACCATGCACCAAGGCAAGGTCTTGGTTGGAAAAAGAATCGGAAGCCATGGAGCAAGTACGTACTTCATAAAATTTAAGGCAAAATTGGTGGCAAAAATTTTGAACGCTTCACATCTCAATCATTGTGTACTTTTTTTGGATTCCATTTAGATACATGGCAGCTTGCTGGAGGTAATCTACCCCGCTTTATCATATGCATATGAAGCAAAGATTTTAGAGGATACTCAAGCTTGTGGGCATTGGAACATACTCTAACTATCCTTAACATTACTCTTTGCTTTTATCAGGCCATCTTGAGTTTGGCGAAACATTTGAAGAATGTGCCATCCGTAAGTCTTAAGCAGTATTCATTTCCCTACTATATGCATCATTAGTGAAGTATAATTATTAAAACACTAAATTCACTTTTATAGGAGAAGCACAGGAGGAAACCGGCCTCAATCTTGACCCAGCCTCAGCCAAGGTCGTCACTGCCAACAACAATATTATGTCTGATATTGACAGACACTACGTAACCGTCTTTATCTCCGCTAATGTTGTTGGCAATGCTGAGGCTAAGGTCATGGAACCATTGAAATGTGAGCGATGGGAATGGATCACACAAGGACAACTACTCGACGATAATGGACCCTACAGACCACTTTTCTCACCTTTGGCCAAGTTGATTACAGAGCACGACCTAACATCGGTGTTTGCCCAGAGTGCCAGAAAATAATAATTGAAGCTGTCAACATACAATAGAGTTAAGGAAGATATATTATACAATGAACAGTATTTTATATTGTTGTAAGATTTCACGCCCTTGGAGCCGTTGTAGTAATGGTCTAAATAACAACATGGTTTAGTATTTAAGAAACAATGCGTAAAAGAGAGAAGATTAGTGAAAAACATTTACTAGCGGTAGGATATAAATGGCCAAGAAGACTGCAATTTTGCTCTGTGAATACCTCATTGCAATAAGGGCATACACCAAAGAGGGTATTGAAACTTTGTCGTGTTGTAGTCAAATTCCGTAGCCACTATGCCAGCCGAAAAACAATCTTTTTATCAGCATCTTCAGATTAAGCGTTCCCTTTCTGGATAACGTATTTCCCCCTACAGTGTATAGCAGCAAGCGAGACTTACATCATATAAGCATGCACGATGGAATGGCTGCTGACATTTAATGTTGCTACAAAGCTGATCCGGTATCTGACCCTCATACCGAAATGAGTAGCATATTCCACATTCGATATTGATTTCTTCCTTGCTGGCAGTCACTGGAGTTGGAAAGCCATTAGGAAGCTCAAGCAGCGCCTCCAAGTTCTCACGTGGCAATTTCATCTTATCCCTGTTCAGCACCACGGGATCCAACAAAAAAAAAAAAAAAAAAAAAAAAATCATTAAGACAAGCAAATGGACACTCTATTTTTCTTACCCGTAGTTATCTCTGAACCTACCATAAGGATACGTTTTTATACAATTTGGTCCGCATAGATTCGATACTTGATGCAGGGCCAATCAATCGTGTTTCAGGCATAGATCGTGGCGACGTGGGATCAATTACTATCTGAATGGTGCAATGGTTGCCTGGAAGCGATAAGCGATGCATAAAAGACATAAAATGGATTCAATGAGTTAAATGGGACGACATAATCTATGGTTTTTTTTCCTCATTATCAAATGGAGAGTGATTATTTAAAGAAAAAAATAAAATAAAAATACCTAAAACGCATCGTCTCATACAATCCGCTTTTGTTGGTTTTTCTGGATCTACTACCCATGTTTTGTCGTCAATGTCCTGCATCACGTCCCAGAAATCTGTAAAATCGCGAAGTTGCTATTGTTGAAGTAAAAAAGACGTATGGTTTAAATATTTGAAAACTCTATCGCGCGGAAGGGAAAATAAAATAAAATAAAATAAAATAAAATAAAAAGCATTACCTTTTCTGCGCATTCTACTGCAGCCAATAGTCCGTTTTCTTGATTTAGAGAGAGGGATTTAGAAGTGAGTGTTTGTGATAGTCGCTGTATATCATGCTCTGGGATTTCTAAGGGCTTCAAATTGAAGGGAACAGCTGGATATCCAGGCGGGAAATCAACTGTCAATAGATGTTTGCGTCCCGAAGCATCGCTAATGGGTGAAAAAAAAAAAAAAAAAAAAAAAAAAAAAGAATAATTAAAAAAATACTGATGAATGCAATTGTTATACCAAAATAAATCGATACCTGAGCTCAATCTGGGCTTGTGAAAGATCCTTGTTCAAGTTAGTTACTCTCTCCCACCCCAAAGCATCCAGTTGCTTAATGACATGCGTCCAATACGAAAGGGATCTCTGTTGTTCCGCATTTGTTTTTTTACTGCTTAAAATCGCTTCCTGTTATGTTGATTATGTAAACAACATATCGATTTGAGGACAAATTGTTTTCAGATCAAAGCACTTCGTGTACAGCAAGAGTTGAATGCCATCTCCACTGTACCAGTGTATCGACCAGCTCTGCTAAAAACTCTTCCATATTAGAAGCCTCGTCCATTTTCTATATGAGTAATGATTTAACAAATAGAACGATTAGAGAGTAGTCAAAAAAAAAAAAAAAATAAAAAAAAAAAATAAAAAAAAAACCTATACCTTCTGCAACTGTGCTTCGTGCCCTTCAAGGATCTTTTGCAGCTCATCTGTACCAAAGATGACCCCCACGTTGGCAGTAAAAAGCCTGAGCTGTCCAGTAGTCGATTTAGATTTAATATTATTATCTGTCTCTGTTCTTCTGTTAGCAGTATAGGGTAGTTCTATCCAGATCTCAAGTTCCCTATCCTACTCATCCCTCAACGGGAAATAATCAGTCCCTTCTTTTCTTTCACTATTACTTTTTCAACAAACATCGATAAATTCCCGACAACGGGCAGGAACACACCATAACAGAAAGAAACCCATGATACATGACAGGATCAGTGCTCCACTCGAGTAATAATGGGAATGACTGCATTTCTGAATGTCTATAAATTGTAAGCGAATGATCAAAAAGAAAGTCCTAACATGCAACAAACTTTTGCTTTTACCCCGAAACAGCCATCGATACTCAACGAGTTTTTTGCTTGTCACGTTCAAAGGTTCATTCTTTTTAACATTTCTTCTTACATTGCATCTACTCTATAATCTCACTGATACAAAAGCTAATTAAACTACATGGATTCAGTCATTGCACCACCTGCCTCCTTTGGCCTTATCTCTGGTACAGCCTTTGCCTCAGCCTCCCCTACAAGGCTTGCAGAGATTCTTGAATCTCTTGAATTAGCTTCGCTTGAGCAAGAACATTGGCGCCTTCAACGCGCTATCCAACAACTAAAGCAATCTAATAAGGAAATTGCAGACTTCATTGAGCAGGAACAGCAACAGCAACAACAGCAAAAATCAGACGTAAATAATAACGGTGACAGCAGTAGTGACGATGCCAATCAGATTGACGCCTTGGGTCCCGATCCCGAGTTCTTGCTGGCGATTGAGGAAAACAAGGCGATAATTGCGAAATACGAACGGATATGTGAGCAATTGATGGAAGCCATTGTGAGAAGACGTGCTACAGAAAACATTTCGGATTCAGATGTTCAGGAGGAGGTATCGGCTATGGCAACTGATAACGAAGGGAATAATGACGCTGCTGAAGGTGGTATTTTCTTATAACCGCCTATTATTTGGTACAACAATAAATTTCATGTATGCTCCTAAATAAACTCTGGGACCCAAAGTTCCAAACTACGACTATTAAGGGAAAGGTGACGGTAGTTCAAAAAATATAAAGTATTCTGACATTCCATTGCTCTTGCACGATTGGAGCCAAAGGAGCAACTAGAAACATTGTGTAAATGATCATTTCGGAGGCTAAAAAACGGAAATATCTGTATAAATCCGATCTGCTGTGTCGCTAGGAAAAAAGAATGCCTGCCGCAGTTAATATATGTAGTGTTCACATTATCTGATCATAAAAAGAAGAATATCCTATCCTCTTTTTTTTTTCTGTGTGTGTCAAACACCTATTCCAAATACACCTAATACCGTTGTAAATTTATGATATTACCGATCCCATAAACATACAATGGGAGACAACAAACGCTCTCCTGCTGCTATCGAGCAGGCTAATATCTTCTCTTATATCACCTTCCATTGGATACAGCCAATGCTGCTCTATGGCAGAGTACGTCTAAATGTGTTGCAATCACATGTTTATTTTTTCCATTCCATTAATTTAGTCGTTCACTCAAATATATAGAAAAATACCCTAGTAGCTGATGACATGCAAGACTTGTCTAAAAAGGACAAGATCCAGCGTATCTCCGACTTGGTTCTGCAGGAATGGACTCGTGAAGTTCAAGAAAAGAAGCAAGCCAGCCTCAAGAAAAATAATAACAAGATGAAACGACCGAACCTACTGAAAGTCCTATGGAGGTGCTTTGGCCTATATGCGTGTGTCCCATTCGTCTCAGCTCTGGTGGAGTCTGTGTGCAAGGTTGTCGAGACTGTACTTCTTGGGTGGGTAAACAAACTGTATAGATGAATTTCATTTTGCTTGATCATCCCTCCAATCAATATTGACATTAACATGCTTTCTTTGCTTACTTCGCTACTGAGTACAGATACGTGATTCGGTTCTTTAATACTCCTGACATGACCGTGGGAGAGGGCATGAGTTATGCCATTGGCCTTTTCTTGGTCACACTCTTCCGTGGCACGGTCCATCATCACAATTTCTTTCACATCCTCCGCATCGGCACTTGGACACGTCAAGGTTTGATTGCGCTCATGTATCGCAAGTGTCTGACACTCTCCACCTCCAGTGCCATCTCCACTGGCACTGTTGTTAATCTGATATCAAATGGTAATCCAATATATTTTCTGCTTTAAAAATACCTTTTCCTCTTATAGACAGAGATTTAGTAATAATAGCTCATAAACTCATTGCTTTTTTTTTTTTTTTTTTTTTTTTTTCGATGTACAATAGATCTCCAACCATTCGAGAACTGTGCGCCGTTCTTTATGTATTCTGTCCTTGGCCCTCTTGAGATGATTGCTGTCATGTACCTTCTCTGGAGGGAACTTGGCGTTGCCTGTCTGGCTGGTCTCCTTGCTTTCGCAATTTTAATGCCCATTCAAGTCTTATTCGGGCGTCGTTTCGGCAAAATTCGCTCCAAGACAGTTCATGCACGTGATGATCGTATCCGAACCCTTTCAGACGTCTTCTCTGGGATCGCACTGGTCAAGCTTTGTGCATGGGAAGTCCCGTTCCAGGAAAGGATTATGGCACTCCGGTCAATTGAGCTCAAATACATCTGGAAATCTAATGTCATGCAAGCTGCCAACTTGTCCATCTATTTCTTTTTCCAGCCTTTGATTGCACTGTGCGCATTCGTGGCCTATTGGCTACAAGGCAAGACCCTGACCGCAGACAAAGTCTTTGTCTCCTTGACGCTGTTCAATATCGTGAGGCAGACCATGACCTCCTTTTTCCCCAAGGCACTCGCATCCATGGCTGAAGTCAGAGTCTCAGCCAAGCGTATCACAGATTTCTTACTGTTGCCTGAGCTGAGAAGTATAGAAAATGAGATTGAATCAACAACATTTGCACCAAAAGAAGAAAAGCAAGGACAGTGGCCTCAAACTCCGGAGATTTTAGTCGAAATGAAAAATGCTAGCTTCTCTTGGGCAATTGAGACTGAGGATAGAAACATGATTTTAGAGTTGTCCGCGAAGGAGAAGCAATCCAAAGAAGCAGGAGCGGAAAATAAGATCATGAACATTGAGACAAAAGACCTTATTGATCCCACGCTTGACGGCATTAACCACGACAGGAGCGATGGCGCCAATGCTCTAGGCTCATTCAAAAAGGCTATCCTCAACGACATCACCATGACACTCCGACATGACGAGCTACTTGCGATTGTTGGACCTGTTGGATGTGGCAAATCTAGTTTCTGTATGGCGATTCTTCGAGAAATGACTCTTACTTCTGGTTCTATGAGCCCGGCTCAACTGTGTGGCTCCGATAACCAACAACGGCCAATTACCATGTCCTACTCTGCACAGTCGCCATGGATTTTTGCAGGTTCGATTAGGAGCAACATCTTATTCGGATCAAAGTTTGATCAGGAGCGGTACAGCAAGGTCATCAAGGCATGCGAATTGACCCGTGATCTATCGCTGTTTCCTCAAGGTGATGCCACCATCATTGGAGAAAAGGGCGTTACTCTCAGTGGTGGCCAGCGTGCCCGCGTCTCTCTTGCTAGGGCCGCATACAGGGATTCGGATCTATATGTCCTTGATGATCCTCTGTCTGCTGTGGACTCTAAGGTGGGCCGAGCGCTATTTGACAACTGTATCAATGGGTTTTTGAAGGGCAAGGCGCGTGTGTTGGTAACTCATCAATTACAATACATCAAAGACTGCGAGACAGTCATGGTGCTAGAGCGTGGACAAATCACGCATATGGGTCCTGTGGATGAGATTATGGGAGAGGAAGTTAAAATCAAGCAGCAGGTCGATGGGACTTCTGCTAAGAGTATCCAATTGCGCACTCGCTTTATAAATGTCCTTCGTGAATTTGCGAACAAAACTTCAGTGGCCCCAGAGGAAGATGAGATGTCAACTAATGATGCAAAGTTGATTCAGGATAAAACACCAGGCAATGTGAATATTATCAGCAACGAAATTGAAACAGAAGGCGAGGCAAAGAATCATGGTGACAATGATGATGGCGCCAGTATAATGGAGAAAAACTTGACGGTCGAAGAAGTGGCTACTGGTGAGACCTCCCCCAAGGCGTATCTCGAGTTTTTCAGGATCGGCTCCACTTGGTCTAAGCTCATGCTCACTGTGATATGTCTTACCTCTGCCCAGGCCATTATGGTTGGGAGCGAATTCTTCTTGACAGTGTGGTCTAGTGCAACAGCGGCGGAGCAGGCTAGGTCATACTACCCTACAGCTTTTGGGCTATACTGCTTAGGCACCGTCATTATGACTCTTATTCGATCTCATTTGTTTTTTGATTGCGTGGTCTCAAGTGCCCGAAATATGTTTCGAGCCATGCTGGATGCACTCCTGCGGACTGGCATTGATTTCTTTCATGCGAACCCACATGGCCGGGTTTTGAATCGATTCTCAAAGGACATGGCGCTATGCGACGAGCTGCTACCTGTTGTGTTTTTCGAAGCAATTCAGACTGGATTTATGCTTCTAGGCTCGGTGGTCACGGTCTGTATTGTCAATCCATGGGTTATCCTCGCCATTCCTTTTATCTTGGCAGGGTTTGCAGGCTTGCGATGGTTATACATGAAATCCAGCCGACAAGTCAAACGCATCGACAGTCAATCACGCTCACCTATCTACTCTCATCTTTCGGAAACATTACATGGATTAAGTACCATTCGTATATTTGGTGTCAGCGGAGACTTTATGAAAGAGCATATAAAGACCCAGGAAGACAATGGGCGCGCCTTTTTTACCTACTTAGCTATGGCACGCTGGCTTGTATGTTTTTTTTTTACTTTTTATTTTTATTTTTTTCCGGATGTGGATGTGCGCATATGTTACTTAAGGCACTAACAAATAGCTCTCCTTGTTCTGTTTAACTTCTGATGTTTTTTCCAGGGGTACCGCCTCGATGCAGTTTCGGCTCTCTTCTTGGGTGTCACTGCTATTGCTTGTGTGGCCGTGCGTGACACTCAAGAGGCCTCCAGAGCCGGTCTGGCCATGTCCTCTGTCATTAGTTTGTCAGGCGAGTTACAGTGGGCTATCCGTATGAGCGTCGAGGTTGCAATCCTGATGGTTTCAGTCGAGCGCATGATGGAATATGCGCACCTTCAGCCTGAAGCAACCAAACGTCATGAATTTAATCTCGACCATACTCCAATAGTACCTAACAGCTGGCCAAGCGAAGCTCAAGTCACGTTCGAGGACGTATCCCTCACTTACCCCCGCGGAGACAAGCCTGTGCTTAAGCACATCTCGTTGGATTTCCGTCCAGGTGAACGCGTCGGTATTGTGGGCCGCACTGGCGCAGGCAAATCAAGTTTGGTCAGCGCTCTCTTTCGCCTTGTTGAAACTACAACTGGCGACCCGCCTCGTCGCGGAGGGATTTCAATCGATGGAATTGATATTAGCAAGATTGGTGTACACGATTTACGCGAAAAGATGGCTATTATCCCTCAAGAGCCGTTCTTGTTCCGAGGGACGCTACGGTTCAATCTCGATCCCCTTTCTCAATATCAGGACGCCGATATCTGGGCTGCATTGGAGGCTGCAGAGCTGAAGCAGATGGCCCAATGCCTCGAAGGTGGACTGAATGCTGTTGTTGATGATAATGGCAAGAATTTTAGTGTAGGGGAACGTCAGTTATTATCCTTGGCGCGAGCGATATTGCGACGGAGTAAGATCATTGTAATGGATGAAGCAACCGCCAATGTGGATTTACAGTCGGACCGCATGATCCAGAAAGCTATTTCGTCTCAGTTCAAGGGTGCAACCATCTTTACGATTGCACATCGATTAAATACGGTCATTGGAGATTATGATCGGATCCTGGTATTGGACCAAGGGGAAGTGGTAGAATTTGGGGAGCCTTGGGAACTTTTGAAGGACGATGCCCACAATGGTATGACATCCAATAACAAGGGCAGAGGTTGGCTCAAGGGGATGGTTGAGGGAACTGGGCCAGAAAATGAAGCTAAGCTGAAACAAGCTGCAAAGGAGCATTGGGAGAAGCATAACAATTCTATTCATCATTAAAAAGAGATAATAATGCAAAAATAAAAATAAAAACAACATACGCAGTGCTGTCCTTGACGGGAGGTTGTTCTACTAATGATTGGGGCCTACAGGATATGGTATTTACTAACGTAAGGGATTATGTTTGCATTTGCATGACACGTGGGAAGTATAGCTGTAATAACCTGTTATAACCATAACCACTGATTCCTTTTTTTTTTTTTTTTTTTTCATTTGTTGTAAAATTAGGGTCGACAATTCAATACACGAGCCAGGTCGGGATTTGATTGAATCAACCTTAACCTTAAACCGTAGAGGCATAAACAAATTCAACGAAACGATCCTTCAAAGTAGACAGTATTTTCTTATAACACTTAGTATTATTCGACTCGTTTACTTGTGAGTTCATCGTGGGTAGCATGACGCCCGCCACTGTTAGCTCGATGGGCGCTTCTTTATATTCCTCTCTCATTCCCCTTTTCCTTTTCTTCTTTTTTTTTTTTTTTTTTTTTTTTTGAAAACATGGACTCACAAGGTCATGTAGGATTTATTCAGATGTTGGCTCTATAAATGAGGTTGTTGAGATGTTTTTCAGATATTAGAAGTCAAGGAGATCAAAGTTGTTTTTATTATTGTCAAACGAGAGTCTTTTATCAAGGACTCTCTATGACCGTCACATGATATTCTGACCTTATGAATAAAAATGGAAGTGCACCTGAGGTGCACTCCCAAGCCTCGGTACGTAACAGTTGTCCCATTACTAGAGTCGCAAATAAAGCGGTGTTTAATAATTGGCCGAAGTCGCATCGTTATACTACCAGAGTACAACATCCTGTTCATAAATCACGTCAGCATTGAGTAGACTTCCTTGATCCCTTTTTTTTTTTTTTTTTTTTTTTTTTTTTTGATAACAAGGACCACGAGGTCATGTAGGATTTATTTAGATGTTAGCTCTATAAATGGGTTGCCCCATTACTGGGGTCGCAAATAAAGCGGTATCCAATAATCGACCGAAGCCGCATCGTCATACTGCCACAGTACTACATCCTGTTCATAAACCACGTCAGCATTGAGTAGACTTCCTTGGTCCCAGAGGACCTGTGGCACGGTTCTACTCCCTACTTGGCCTGTTGTGCGCGAAGGTCATCCTTTAGCCGCTGTCCTCAATCATCAAAAATTTACAGCTTTCCAGGCGCTCCATAATCGCCAATTCCACCTGCTGCCGGTAGCTTGCCGCCACTCGCCGGTCTGCCTCAGTCCTGATCGCCTTCACATCTGCTGTTCGTCGTTGTCCCTGGTGAGAGCCTACGTCTGTGCCTCCCAACACAGTTGCGTCCCCTGGCGCGTTTGCTCACAGAGGTGATACCATTGTCTCTTTCCCAGTTGACGGTGACTTTGCAGCGTCTGTTCCAGATTTCAGTCCTGCCGAGTTCCTCGATTGACTTGACAAAGCGGCAAACAATGTACCTTGAGATCGATGCTGTGGTTCTGAAGATCGTCTTCCATTTTTGTATCAGTTCCTTCGGCACCAAACCGTGGTACAAGTCTTGGACAGTCCAGTGGGCATCCTCACCCTCGTTCCTCCGTCCCATATCCACGTCTTCCTCACCAAACAGAGTGCTTGCATGTCGAATCTCTCTGACGCCCTTGAACATCGCTTCCAAAGAGCCCCAAATCACGTTGTCGGCTACAGGTGTAAACGAGGGGCCTCCTTTATTCAGGTTTGGCTCCTGTGTTTTCCCTTGTTTGTCTTCCCAGAGCTTCTTCTCCTTCACTAATGCTCTTTTGCCATCCTTCGTGATGAGTTCTATGGCCTGCTTCCAACCTTTCAATTGCTCGTCCAGTGTCATGGGACATCGCCAGAGGTGTTCTATGTCCTCCTGCTCCTGTTCACACATCCTGCGGATGTCAGTCTCATACAGGTCCGGTCGCCACTGCCTCATATAAGTGAGTGTAGGAAGCATACCATGGACCTTTTTTATTCTGTGCGCTCTCTTGTGACAATCTGCTGGGCTGGTGAAGAGGCCTCTAGGCGTGTTGCCATCGTGAAGAATATGCAGGCTTGCTTTCCATTCTACTTCTCGCCAGTCTGCAATATAATTCCTGACTCTGTTCTGAGACGCCCACAAGTAATGTGTTCTCACTGCTGATTGGAGCTTTAGCAGGTGTCTAAGATCATCCTCCACCACCTCGTTCTCGAAAATAGCGTGACAGCGCAGATCGTTGTGTTCCAGTCCTTTGATTGTCCACATTTCGCTAAAATGGGCATCTTTGGCGGCTTGGTCTGCCCTTATATTGCCTCTATTCCCAGCATGGCCCTTGATCCATTTCACAGTTACCTTCCCGCCCTGCTTAAAGAGCGCTCTCGAAATGGCTGCCCACCACACTGCGTACTTGGATCGCAATCGCTGCCGTTCAGTGCTTGCTTCTCGCTTTTGAGCAAGGTCCTTGAACTGAACCACTACCGCCATGTTGTCTATGTAGACAGTCGTTGGAACGTTACGGGGACTGACTAGGATGGCTGCGTACAGTCCTACTAGCTCTGCCTTGGTGGATGAAGCATACCCATCGACTCTACCTGAAACTACATTTGAGAAGCTTTCTGGGCCTATCTGAGCCACCACTCCGAAAGCCATCCGCGCCGCCCTTCTTCCTGCCTCTTCAAGGGACCCATCGAAGTAAAGCGTTAGCTGACTCATCGTTGATAGTTTCTCTCTTTGACGCAGTATATTGTCCATGTCAACCTGTGGGATCTCTACACCTAGGCACTCAGAGGAGCCAAACCACCGATGATGACCCTCTGGGATTTTATTATTCCTTGTTCTTGAGGAGTCCTGAGCCTCCTATTGAGAGCTTGTTCATCGAGTTCATGGCATCCACGTATCTTGTTTCGCTCTTGTGCTCTACGTCTTGCTCGGTTGAAAGCCGCTCGTCGTCGCTGTTCTCTTCTTCCTTGTTCATCGAGCCTTTGAAACCTAGCCTGTAACCGTAGGCGTTCTTGACGGCGAGCTCTTTCGATAGCCTTCGAGTGTGCGGCTTCTTGCTTGGCTTGCACCCACTGTTCACGTCGCCACACTCTCCTTCTCTCCGCCTCTTCTTTTTTCCTCTCTTGCTCTATTTTTCTTAGCAACCATTGCTCCCTCTTCCCTCTTTCCAAACGGTCGCGAAATTGTAACATTTTCCTTCCTTGAGGATCTTTCCACAGCCTATGCCTCTCGTTAGCTTCGCGCTCTTTTTCTCTCAAACGCTCTCTTTTTTCAAAATTTTCTCGCAAGTATTCTTTTTGGAGTTCGCGATCAGACTCAGTGTATCCTTCATACTCCTGCATACCCTCTTGTATGTAACACTGTGCTCTTCTTTCTCTTTCCTCCCGCTGTTCTACACTTAGGGGATCAAGTGGCTCTCTGGGGTCTTCCACGTCACTGAGGTAACTTATATATCCAACTTCATCATCCTCATCACCTCAGTGGGCTGCCCCTCCAACATATTGTCTTCTGTGAGTAGTTCATCTGCTCTCTCATTGTTTTCAGCCTCATTTAGCTGTTGGAGCTCCCTTAAATCTCTCTCTTCCTCTTCGTCTAGTCTCTGAAGAATGTTCTTTTTGTCTCTACACCATACTTCGATAAAGTTGTGTGTGTAAAGGGACTCATGAAGGGCATTTTGAACATTGTGGAACCATGCTGGAGATGCCTTTGGGTCTCTCCTTTTCGTACGTACCTCATTCCAGGATTTGAGTGACGAATCCTCGTCTAGAGTTTGCTCAGCATAATATATTCCTCTTGCTGCTAATTTCCGCACAGGCTGGTCATCCACAATGCCATGAAGCATGTCTGCTATATTGAGAGCATTTCCAGGGAGCCCAAAATCGTTTGCTAGTTGCAAGTCAAACTTCACTTGTCGATCGGCCATTAGTTTACAGACGCTTGATGCGAAGTTGTGTTTGTATGCTTTTATTTTGTGTGGCTCTGCAGTTGGGAGCTTGCTCGTCCTAAGGCGCTTCTGGAGGGCAATGAGACGTGCTCTACAGATACGTCCCATCAACCCATTGTCATTTAGGCGTAGGAACAGGGTTGATATCTGCTCCTCTGTCTGTGCGTCTTCTAAGTTTTTAATTGCATAGAATCTAGGGTGATGCATTATGCTGTTGGGTGTGGTTGACGGCATACGTGCTTTGCTCTTACATAGCTTCATATACTTACCTGTCATTCGTCTCACAAAAGAAGGGGGAAGTATCTGTGCCGAAATCCTATAAAGCACCTTGGGTATGAGGACGTTATTGATGAGATATGCTGTCTGTTTGTCGGTTACTGCTTTTGAGGAGAGAATACTACACATTGACGTGACTTCTCTTTCTACAATGTTCTCTGTTGTCTTCACCGACCCTCTGGCTGTTACCCAGACACCTAGTATCCGGACAGGGTCATCTTTGCCCAGCGGGCGGATTTCTTCTGCCGGTGTACCAAAATGGAGATTATTGTTATTGTTGAGCTTGCTGTTTAGTGTTAGCACCTGCGTCTTTTTCGCATTGATTTCGACCCCGTTAAGAACAAAAAAGGACGTGGCGACATCTAGTATATCCTGTACATGTTGCTTGGAGTCAGATATCCATGTCGTGTCGTCCACAAAAGCCAGACATGCGAGCTGAGGTGTATCTGGAGGGCCCTCTATTCTGTATCCCTTCATGTGGTCCATAACTTCACATAGTAGTGGATCATAAGCTATTCGCCAGAGTAAAGGGCACTCTACGCCTCCTTGATCCAGACCGCATTCTGGGCGGTACTCTTTCGTAAGCCCGTATTCTGTAATAACTCTATTGACCTTGGTAACAGCGATGTTCTCACACAACCTGATAAATGCCTCTGGAACTCGTAAGCGACGTAGCCCTCTGGACAACATACCATCGGAAGCACAATTGACCGAATCAAAACACCTTTTCATATCTTGGAACACTATCCATTGCTCCTTGCGAAACTCTCTAGCATCTTCCATTGCTGCTTGGAGGATATGAATTGGGTCCTTTGTCGTCGTTCCT